CATTCCATAATCTTGGAGCAGCGACAGAGAAGGCCCCCTGGGAGGTCTGTGACAATCTAGTTTTCATACACAGTAGCAGTTCCCTTACCACCCTAAACAGCTCTGTTGGATGGGATTCTGCAGATGCAATACGTGCAGAGGAGAAGGATTTCTGCACTGCACGCATTGCCTCTCAATAGGAAGAAAGAAAATTCCTATGATGAGTCTTGTCAGATAGGAGTCAAGTTTTCTGCCAGGTGTGCTCTAGTCATTGTCCAACCCACTTCATCTTTCTAAGTTTGTCTGTGAACCAGAGTTGATGGTTTGGAGCGGGTTGGAAAGGACGCTTGGGAGCGATCATGTTGATAGCCATAGTAAGATAGGCATTCCAGGTATTGACTAGGGCTTCAACAGAATCACTGGCATTACCAACCAAGGAACCCTCCAAGGTTTTCTGGAGTCCAATTGGCTCCATTAGCCTCAGAGGGTGGATCATTTTAATAGGTCCTCCACCCCCCGGTAGAGTGGACAGTAGCTTTAGTCCAACCTTGACCAGGAAATGATCCATCCACGACAGTGCAGTAGTATTTATTACCTCCGCCCACGGTTATGCCTGCTTCGTACTAAAGACCACATCGAGGGTATGACCTGCTGAATGCGTTGGCCCTGAAACCAATTGGGATAGGCCCATGTCTGTCATGGAATCCATGAACTGCCAGGCTGCACCTGTTAAACTGGCCTTGAATGAGATGTTGAAATCACCCAGGACTAAAAGTCTGGGCGACTCCAACAGCAGTTCTGATACCAGCTGTGTCAGCTCAGATAGGGAATCTATTAAGCAATGGGGTGGACAGTAAACTAACAGAACCCCTATACTATCCCTGGTCTTCAGGCTTAGGTACATAAATCTGAAGCGGTCTATTTTCTGGATAGGTATCCTAGTCAACGTGAGGTTATCTCTATGAACAAGAGCCACTCCACACACACCTGCTCACTAACAGAGTATCCGGCTGAGAGAGCTTGGTTCCAAGTGATGGCACTATCTTCTTCCAGCCAGATCTCTGTAAAAAAGGCCAGGTGGGCTTCTTCATGCACAAGGAGATCATGGATGATATGAGTTTTGTTTTTTTACCAATCTGGCATTACAAAGGAGCAAGGTAAGGTTCTGTGGCAAGGTTGGTAGGCTCCCCAACTTACTTTGGGTAACAGAGTGAATTGAAGGCAGGATCGCTTCCAACCATCAAGCCTGCTTCTTTTGTAACAAATTTTCACACTGTTATTGCCATATCTTCCTCTGCCCTGCACAACCTTAATTTCCACCCATGATTCCTCTACTGGCCCATCCCAGTTACCCTCCACCTTAATGGTTGTTTATTAGTCCCTGGAATGCATAGACAGAGCATTCCTAAAGGCTGTAGCTTCCTCCCTCGAGATCTGTTATCTCTTTCTCAGAGGTTGTGGAGAAGGCTACATAGTCTCTCTCTTTCAGCCCTGTTTCCTCTTGGCCTTGCCACCATTGGAAAGATGGTGATGGAAATGAGTCAGGGCTTCCTCCCCATCTTCCTCCCGGGGTGATGGCTGCCAAGAATGGGAGGGGCAGGCCAAACAACCCCTGCCTGACACCTGGAACCCATGGGGAGGCTGGTGGAATTAAATAGCCTCCTCCGTTCTGGCTGCTGCTGCTGCTGGTTTTCCAAACACGCCTCCACCACCGTTATTGATGTTAAGGAGGCGGTGAGGCAGGCTAAAAAGCCTTGGAAGCCTCGGAAGCCATGCCGTAGGTGTTGAGAGGGCTGGTGGGGAGGGCTAGGCAGCCTCCACCCGGTCATCCAAGCATGCCTCCACTGCCGCTGTTGATGTTAAGGAGGTGGTGGGGTGGGCTAAAAAACCTTGGAAGCCTTGGAAGCTGTGCTGTAGGTATTGAGAGGGCTGGTGGGGAGGGCTAGGCAGCCTCCACCTGGTCTTGCAACATGCCTCCGCCATTATATATATATCCATTTGTCATTTTATATAGGGGGCACCATTTCTGTGCCATTGTATTTAGTGGGACTTGAGCATCAATGGATTTTGGTAGCCATGGGGGGTTGTTGAATCAAACCCCAGCAGATACTATGGCCTCACTGTATAACAATGAATACACTCACATTTGTAAAGCAGTCGGCCTTCTGTAGGTCCTTCCTACTCTCCAGTGAACAGCATCCATGTTTGGAAAATATTATATGTGGTGCCCCGTTTGTCATTTTATATAGGGAACACCATATATAATATTTTCAAACCATCAAAACAGAGATATCCTTTGTGGACACCGAGGGTTGACTGTACTGACCTACAGAAGGCCAACTGCTTTACAAATATGGGTGTATTCATTGTCATACTGTACGTGAGTACTACAGTTCCCATGATCTTGGATGCATTGCACATATTGCACTATGAATGTGCTTGCTTTTTACACAGTTCTGGAATTGTTGTCATTTAAGTATTCTTTAGAAGCTAGCATTCATATTAATACACTTACAGAATACATCTATTAGTCTGAAACAGATGCCATATTAACCTTAGCTAAGTTTCCCATATTTTTTTCATCCATTACTACTACATCAGATCTCCTGAATTTCCTGAGACTTTTTCCCCATTTACATATAGTCCTATCAGAAGGCCAGGCCCATTTGCTGCATGAATCTCTCATCATTCTTTTGGCAGCACTCACTGTATCAGAAATGAACAGAGATACAGTGGGAGTGATTTTAAATTGTCAGTGACTTGGCATTTGGCTTGAATATTTTTCCCCAATTCACTGCCTGTTTTGTAATTTAAATGTTATCCAAAAAAACCCACCCACCTGTCATCTAAAAATGATAATACATCTTCAAAGGTTCTTAAAGAACTAGAAAAGAAAGTTTTTGAACTATTAGAAGGCTCTTTCTTAGATACCAATGGCTTTTTGGGAACAGAATGGAATCTAGCAGAGATTCTTAATCTTTTTGAAGTTGAATTTCATCCTTTCAGAATTGATTTGTCAACTTTGTGCCCTACTTTACATTCTTCTCTACAACAGAAAACCCAAGAAGGCCACATCAATAGGGATGGCCAGGTCTATTTTTGGGCTATGTCAGCTTTGGGTGCATTTGGCCCTAAGTCTTTTGCATCACATTTCTGCAGTAGTCTACATATTTTTTAAAAGGTATGAAAATTTGAACTTAACTTGAACCTCTTTTCTCCTAAAATATGATTTGTCTACACATTTCCTCTAAAACATGCATTTTTATACCCATTTTTCTCTAGAATATCCATTTTATACACATTCCTGCCTAAAATATGCCACAATGTAGATGTTTTTGAGCCAAGAATTGCGTCACAAAATCTGGAGAAGTGTGCAATTCGAAAGATAACTGCATTCCAAACCACAAATTAGTTCAGGGAGTCTGAATTAGTTTGGCTCACTTAAAAATGCAGACTGAACAAAATTCTCCAGCATCTCTATAACTTGGATAGTTTATATTTTATTTTCTGCATTTATAGATAATATAGATATACATATAGACATAATGTATTTGACCAGAATTTAAGAATGACACAGCTCCAGACTGAAAGGACTTCAGTACAAATTTAATAGATCATATCTTAGATTTGGAATCCAACCCTGTTATGATTTGATAGCATGAGCCGTGTCTAATCTGGCCTGAGCAGCATTGTTTGTTCTGTCCAATATGGCACAGTACAGAATTCCTCAAAAACACTTGCAACTGAACATTATACCATACAGATTTGGGAAGAGTGGCAGTTCAACCAAGCTGAGAGTCCAAATTTGTCAAACCTGGCACTCCACTGTTCTGATTTGGCAGATCAACCCAGCTGAAATGATGCAATGTACAGAAATCAGTAAGGATGTACTTGCTTTTGTATGCCACAATTTTTCAACAGTATTGCTGTATAGAACAACTCATGCCTCCTCACTAGCCATAGAGGTGCCAGGAGGATAGCAGAATTATGTCCTTTGCTAGAATATGGGATTCTGTGGAAAGTGCTTCTGTATGCTTTACCCTGAAAGAAGCTAAAAGTGCTTTTCAAGAAGTAATTCAGGGTCTGGGGAAATGGAAGAGGGGGAGCTCTTGATCCGAGAGCATATCCTATCATATTAAGAAACAAGAGGTTTAATGACAATATTAAAGATATACTGTAATAAGTTTAATTTTATTTTAATGGTGATTTTTGTATGTTTTTCATTGTATTGTTCTTTTAAATTGTAAACCACTTTGAGTCACAATTTTGGGGGAAAGCAATAATAATAATAATAATAATAATAATAATAATAATAATAATAATAATAATAATGTTTGCAAATGTTCTTGTCCCCAAGGAGAATGTTGACATACGAAGATGCACTGTGAAGCAAATAGTTGAGCAAGACTTTCACATCTTGGAAAAACAAGTATACACAAAATATACAATTTTTTGTACAGCAATATTGGGATTTGCACAAAATTAAAGCTGTTTGTGTGCCTCTTTCTGCATTCTATGGCACTAACTATAATCAAATATTGCAAATACAATTGCACTTTACATCTCAATATATGCTTTTAACAACAATGCAAATTATATATTAAATTTGACACATATGACTGTCCCAATGTTCTTGGCATCCAATTAAGTACCAGTGGAGGACTCAACTGCAAGATTCTTGTCTGTGCTGCTCAGTATTTCTGCAACATTTGAAGCAACCTTAAAGCCCAAAATAAAAAACAACAACAAAAGAAAATAGAATCAAATGCAATATAGAAATTATACTACAAAGAATTTTCCCTTTTGTTCCCTCCTAAATACACCAATGAAAATACCACAACTTTGTTGTTCTTATTTTTGTGTGCCTTCAAGTCATTTCTAACTTATGGCAATCCTGTGACAAACTTATCAAGGTGTTTTTTTGGGGGGGGGGTTGGCAAGATTTGTTCAGAGGAGGTTTGACATTCCCTACCTCTTGGGGTTGAAAAAATGTGACTTGCCCAAGATCACCCAGTGGTTTTCATAGCTGAGTGGAGAATTGAACCCTGGCCACCAGAGTTGTAGTCCAGTACTCAAACCACTATGCCACATTTACTATTTTTTCAAAGTGAAAAGGGCCTAATGCTTAGCACTGGTAACTGCAACTCATCTTCAGCTCTAGCGCTCCCTCTCCTTCTAAATTCAACCAGTGTTCAGTCCTTTCCTTAGGGCAGGGGTAGGAAACATTTCCCCTTGAAGGGCCAAGGGACTTCAGCTTCCAGAATCCCAACAGCTATTGGCCAACATGGGACTATAGGCCAACATGGCTGAGGCTTCTGGGAGCTGAAGTCCCTTGGCCCTTAAAGGGGAAAGGTTGCCTACCCCTGCCTTAGGGCATCCCCATCTATAGTTACATGTGTGCATAATACAAACATGTTTCTTTTTAAGTTTTTTTTTTTTTTTGCAAAAAAAAAAAAAAATCCCATTGTGGACAACATCACCAAAAATACACTGACACTTGCCATTTTGCCCATTAGGAGAAAACATTTCAAATTATTTTTTTCTTGTGTGTAGTAATGAAATAAGCAAAGACATACATCCCTAAATAACAATCTCTCTCTCTTTCTCTTTATCTCTGGAAGGTCTTTACAGTCTAAATAGTTTCTTGCTTGCTACAAGAAAACAAGCAAATCTTGCAGTGGTTGAAGTTTAACAAGGTTACAGCAAGCTGGGCTGGCTCTTTGATTCAGAGCTTGGAATACATTTTAAAAAACAATTCATTATATTTTAAATAATATTTTAAATAGGATCTATCCATAAACTTGCTCAGCCATTCAGAACACAAATGGATTCATTTTAGCAGCTATACATCCAAGAAACTCTGAAATAGTTAATTGTTATTTTATAGTTAAAATACATTAGTTACTTTTTGGGTAGTTTGAAAAAAAATCTGCAAGTTTTCACCATGATCCACAGCACAGCATTTAAGGCATGTAGCATTTCTCTTTCACCAGTATGGTTTACATTAATATGAAAATAATGTAAAACATTATGGTTGTACTGTAAATGAGATGATGTTGTCCTGTGTTAAGGTATTAAAAGGCTAAGCTACTAGCCATATAAAGGCATTATGTGGCCAGTTATTCTTCCAAATTTATATCTATTGACTGAAATATGTTTCAGGGTTCTGGGCAAGAGGATGCAGGGAAAATATTTGTGATTTCCTACCTGTGTGTAAAAAAAGGAGAGGTGATTGATGTTGGTCATTTCAGCTTACAATCCAATGCACATTTATTTACAAGTAAGGTCCTTTGAATTTCTTTGAGCATACCTATTAAAGGGCATGCATCGGATAGTATTAGAGTCATAGGACGTTATCACACGTGGGCCAGAAAGCAATAATAAAGT